TTGGATATGTTGAAAAAGATTCCTGATGAAGAGTACTTAAAATTCTGGAAGGAGTATTCCACCAACATTAAATTAGGTACAATTGAAGATCCCAGCAATAGAACGAGATTGGCAAAATTATTAATGTTCTTCTCCTCAAACGGTGACGAAATGACTTCCTTGGCGGATTACGTAAAACGCATGAAACCAAAACAAGAAAGAATTTATTACATGGCTGGATCATCAAAAGAAGAAGTCATGAAATCGCCTTTCGTTGAAAGACTTTTACGCAAAGGTTACGAAGTTTTATACATGGTCGAAGCTGTTGATGAATACACCCTCTCTGCCATTCCTGAATTTGAAGGTAAAAAGTTCCAAAATGTAGCCAAAGAAGGATTTTCTCTAACAGAAGCGGAAGGTGGTAAAAAACAATTAGAACAATATCAAGCAACTTTTGAACCTTTAACTAAATGGTTGGGCGATGATGCTTTAAAAGAACACATTGCAAGAGCTACTGTATCTGAAAGACTTAGTGATTCACCGTGTGCTTTAGTTGCCTCTATGTTTGGATGGACTGGAAACATGGAAAGATTAGCTGTTTCAAATGCCCATCAAAAAGCTGATGACGCACAACGTTCCTATTATTTGAATCAAAAGAAAACGCTAGAAATCAATCCAAGACATCCATTAATGAGGGAATTATTGAAAAGGGTTAATGATGATCCATCAGATCCTGCAGCTAAAGATATGGCTTTGATGTTGTTTAGAACAGCAACTTTAAGATCTGGATACATGCTGAAAGAAACGCACGATTTCGCTCAAAGTATTGAGGTAATGATGAGAAAGACTTTAGGGGTTTCACTGGACGAACAAGTTGAGGAGGAGGAAGATGTTCCAGAGGATGGTATTCCCGACGAAGAAGCGGAACAGGAAGTCGACGCTGAAGCCGACTCAGAAGATCATGATGAGTTGTAAAATGTGTTAAGAGATAATAATTTTTGAGTGTGTTTTATGCGTGAATGTGTTATTATTTAGACCGTAAATGAAGACTGTTAATTTTTCTATTTAAATATAATATAAATATGAACTTAATTTGATTTCTTCAATTTTTTTTTGTTATTATTAAGAGATATTTTAATTTTGATAACATTTTTATCCTAAAAACCGCTCTACTTTTGCAATGTTCTACTTTTAGACATTTTTTTATTGGCTTATTCAATAGTTTATCAAAATTGAAGGCTTCTATAATTTTTTATTTTTCAAACGGTTTTAGTTAAAAAAAAAATTTGAAAAACTTTGGTGACGTCACCGTCGTTTTGTCTTGGTTGGTTACAAAAAAAATCAATAAAAGGTGCATGAGCCACGAAAAAAAGATTAACAACTTGAGAAGAAACAAAATAAGAGAAGAACAGAAATTCTCCATCTGACACCTATGGTCCATCATAGTTTGCGAATTTTACAACAATTTCATTTACAAGAGAAGAAGAAAAACTTAAACAAAGGGCATGCTTAAATTTGCATTAAAACCAAAAATTAATCTTCCCTTAACATCCATAGCATTTGATATTATAATCAAAAATTCGCCTGAATATCACGAGATTAGAAGTGATCTAATAACTTTTTTAAAAAACAGGAAAAAAAAAATTGGCATCCTCATGATAAAATACAACTTGGACAGTCATTCCAACATTACGAAACAATTAAATCTATTAAAAATAATCGAACATAATGATGCAGTTTTCGTAAAAGTAGATAAAGGAGAGGGAATTGTAATCATTGATAAAAATACATATATACACAAAACAGAACAATTCATGAAAGATAAAACTACGTTAAATTAAATAAAAATCCGTTAGATTCGATCGTTAGAAAAACGAAAGAAATTATAAACAAAAACAAAGAAATACTTATAAAATTTTCTCCTAACCTAAATATAAAACTTGATCGGATAAATAACTTTTTCAGTTCATATTTCATAAATATGAACCCAAAAATCCCAAAACTTTATTTTTTTACCTAAATTGCACAAAATAGACATGCCTATTCGTCCTATTACCGCTTTCAATAATTCACCAACATCTAAACTGGCCAAGTTTATGCTCAACATTTTTCAAATGATAAACTTTAAACCTAAATTTTCCATATCAAATTCCTTGGAATTCATTCAAAACACTAAAAATCTTAATTTAGCAAATAAAATATTTTTATCCTTTGATGAGGCCCACTTTTATCACTTCTTGATAAATTTATCCGATAGATAAATCCAGCTCTTAGGTCCATTACTACCATCTTTTAGTTAAATTTATCTTATAGATAAACACATCTACTAGCCAATCAGAGCGCGTGAAATAGCCGTAACCATAGTAATAATCCCTTAGATAGCTTAACCAGAAGATGGTAGTAACGAGCCTTAGCCAATGAAAGCGCTTAAAACCGCCGTAACCATGGCAACTATCCTCTAGATAGTTTATCAGGAGGATGCTAAAAGTGGGCCTAAACCTAGCAAGTAACTTGTTCGATAGTCATTTCAAAGATAATAGTATAACCTCACAACTTAATAATATTTTAAAACATATCACACAAAACTACTGCACTTTTAACGATAACTTTTATAAGATTAATGAAGGTTTACCAATGGGGATGCCCTTATCTGGAATTTTAGCAGAAATCTACCTTGATTATATCGAAAATAATTATATAATATCTAATAATAATCCTTACAACAATAATATCATAAAATGGATAAGATAGGTACATGACATCTTTATAATATGGGAAGTTAACAATGCAGACTTAGATCTTTTTCATGAGTACCTTAATAATATTCATAAAAATTTAAAATTCACGGTGGAAAAAGAAATCAATAAGGAACTAAACTTTTTAGACCTAAAGTTGACTAATGAAGACGAAAAATTGAAATATGATATATTTAGAAAACAAACAACAGTTCCTACAATTATTCCTGAAGATTCTGCACATCCTTTTTCTCAAAAAATATTGGCAATCTGTTATAGAACGCTTAATATATATAATTCAGTATTTATCCCGACAATGTAATAGCTATTAGAGGTTCGTTAAAAAAATTGTATGATTACAACAATGAAAACTTTTTAAAATTAGTAAAAACTATTGCTAAATTTGATGATGTGATGGCTGAACATTTACGTCGTATTCAAACTTCTGACAAAAAGAATATTGCGTATTATTTAGGAGATGGCATACAAAATGAAATAATTCATTTAATGGCCGAAGGCATAAAAAACAGATTTTGGAAATGGTTTACAGTGCAAAATATTATTCGATAATTCTCGATACTACTCCAGATATAAGCCATATCCATCAATTGAGACATTGTTATTAGATTTGTGTATCACAATAAAAATACAGGAGAAATTCATGAACATTTGTTGGGATTTTGTGCAGTTGAAAGTACTACTGGTCAAGAACTTATAACTATTACATTTATTTTATAACTATTACAGACTTTGAAGCTCTATATTTCCTCTATATCCTTAGAATAATAGAAATTGATGATTTTCAAAACGTCGCTGTAACCTTATTTTTTGGAACTAGAAAATGATTTATGCCTTAAATTAAAGCTGGAAGTTTCCTCTTCATGATGATATATAATCATAAATATAGTGCGTAATAAAAATTTTGAGATTAAGCTTAAAAAGTGAATTTTAAACATATTCTTAGAATAAAAGAAATTGATGATTTTCAAATCGTCACTTTAACTTTATTTTTTGGAACTAGAAAACGATTTATGCCTTAAATTAAAGCTGGAAGTTGCCTCTGCATGATGATATATAATCATAAATATATTGAATAATAAAAATTTTGAGATTAAGCTTAAAAAGTGAATTTTAAACATATTCTTAGAATAATAGAAATTGATGATTTTCAAATCGTCGCCTTAACTTTATTTTTTGGAACTAGAAAACAATTTATACCTTAAATTAAAGCTGGAAGTTTCCTCTTCATGATGATATATAATCATAAATATAGTGCGTAATACAAATTTTGAGATTAAGCTAAAAAAGTGAATTTTAAACATATTCTTAGAATAATAGAAATTGATGATTTTCAAATCGTCGCCTTAACTTTATTTTTTAGAACTAGAAAACGATTTATGCCTTAAATTAAAGCTGGAAGTTTCCTCTTCATGATGATATATAATCATAAATATATTGAATAATACAAATTTTGAGATTAAGCTTTAAAAAGTGAATTTTAAAACGCATTGAATAAAAATATATATTCCATCAATCAGAATTACCAACCCAATTTAAAAAAAAATTGTAACTTTGATGTTTTCATCAATTTTCCTTTATAACTCATTAAATGTATCCGATGGAAAAAATTATTTCATACAAAAAATGTTTAGAATTAACCCATAAAACATAACCAATAAGTTATTTTAATCCATCGATCAGTTGTGCCAATCCAACCCAAAAATAAAACAAAAATTTTGATGTTTTTGCCAATTTTCGGTTATAACTTATTAATTATGCATAATGGAGAATTACTTTTTAAACAAAAAACACTTAGAATTAGCTAATAAAACGCATTGAATAAAAATATTTATTCCATCAATCAGAATTACCAACCCAATTTAAAAAAAATTGTAACTTTGATGTTTTCATCAATTTTCCTTTATAACTCATTAAATATATCCGATGGAAAAAATTATTTCATACAATAATATTTAGAATTAACCCATAAAACATATCCAATGGAAATTCGTTTTTTCCAGACTTTACATTTCCTTTTATTTCCTTTGCATTTTTTTTTCTGTTCTCTGCCTTTGTTGTAGTGTTCTATATACTACATATTTCCTGTTTGTTATCTCTGAGCATTCCTTATCAAACCAGGTTTCATCTCGCTTTCAGCATTTTTATTTTTCCCAATGTATCGTTCAACACCTCTTCAATGGTTTGTTTACATTTAGCACGTAAAAGCGCATCGTTTTCCAGACTTCGAACCAGTTTCTCAAGATTGATACTATGGATAACATTGGACAGTTAAACATTACTTTATTTTTTTTTGTGCATTAAACACAATCTAATACAATAAAAGTATAGATAAAAACACTTATTAATATTACACGACTACACGTAACATTTTTTGTTCCAGATTTTCTACTATACATACTAGGTTGTACAAAAAATTCTTTGGTGTTAGCATCGGGAACCAAAGGATCAGGATAAGTGTTCATACATTGTTTACAAAGAGTTTTATTGATTACATAAAGATTCAATTTTTTCATTGCTCTCGCTGCTCTTAATCCACAAACTTTTGCAGTTTTCACATAGTAACAATCTGTAATATCTTGATAAGCACTAAAATCAACTATTATTAATTATTTTTTAAAACCAATCGAAAATTTTCCAAAATATTTCTTACTTGCAAAGTTGATTACGGTCACTGTATTCCATCCAATCTCCGGGACCAACGCAAGAACTGTAATCGTTATGTAGAGCATTATAACAGGGGAAAAAATTTTTATAAACATTTCCATCGGTTGAGTTACATAAAAAATCGTATAAAGCGTCCACCCCTCTTATTAATTGAATATAAAGATTTCGTGTTGCAACTTTACACGTTCCTAAGAAATCATCGAGTTCATCTAATTTATCAGTTAATACTTTGCATGTGCCGGGCACATCAGATTCCGTAGCGAAAAGTACGATACTTTCTGGATTTATTGCTTTTAAATCTGCCAGAAAACGAATTAATTCTTTATCGTCACATGGTGCCAATTCTTTGGTATCTCTTGGAAAAATATATCTTTTTGGTCTTAAAGAAACAAATATTTTCGGATGACTGGGTTTATTATTGTGATGATGCATTGGGGATACTAAAAAATACATTTTATTAATAACTTAAATTAAATGATTAAGTAAAAATCACCTTTTGAAATGAATGATAATAGTATAAAATTAAATAATGTGAAACTAAAAATGTGCATTAATGTTCAAAAAAAGTGGTGACATTGGTGTCTAAATATGACAAAATGATTATCATAGATTATATTCAATTTCTGTTATTAATACATTTCAATTATTTATTTGCAGATTTTTTTTTTTTTTGAGTTTTCACATCATTTCGGTTTTTCGACAAAAAAACACTTAATAACAAGGATTTTTTGTATTATACTTTTCAATTTACATTAATATGTATTTATACAGTCAGCAACACACGTTTTGGGGGGTTTTCTTGCACAAACGTTTCTGAAATTTTGTTTTTCTTCAAACGTCATTAAATGACAACTTTGTTGTCGTGTTTACTCGCGGTAGAAGTAAGTCATTGTTGCATAACGACGGTTGGTAAGATCAACATAGCAAAAAAGTACTTCAGCGTTATGGCGCTAAAGTAAATTTCACTTTAGCGCCATAGCGCT